GTCGTTGATACTCTTAGATCAGGGGGCAGACCGTTGCAGGACGATGATCGCGTGACAGAGGAGTCGGGGTCGTCTGCTTCAACTGTCCTCGTCGGAGATCCACCAGACCCACGATCGGATCCTGTTGAGTCGGTGTGGGAACCTTCCGGATCGGAGAAGGAATGCTCTCCAAAGCGGAAACAGGCGGAGATGGACTTCCAGCCTTCGCCGGTCACGGATCAAGCGTGTGCACCGGTAGATGACGCGAAGCCGCAAGAGGATCGTGTTGGCGATCTAGAGGGGAAGCCAGATCATGTGGATTCCGGTGGTAAAGCCGCCGAGAAGGGCGAAATCGTGTCCCCTCACATGCCATCGGCCGATCAGGTCGACGGTTGTGCCGTCGAACCAGATCTTGAGGCGGGAGTACCGATCGGACACACCCCGTTGCGGTCTTAGCTGTGGAAGAGTCGAGATCAAGTGACGATACAGCAGTCGACGGTGTTCCAGCATCTGAACGACTGCCACAAGTGGCTAAAGACTCATCGATCGTTGGAGGTGATCAGCTGAAAATGGAGGCCAAACCCACTTCAAATCGGGGCGATCTCGTTACGTCCGAACCGGATCGAGACGTGGGCGCTGATGATCAGGTCCATTACCACGAGGGCGGAAATCTGTCAGCAGAAGATGTCGAAGGTGAATTAGCTGTGCTTCTTGAAATTGTGATCTCGACGACGGATGAGGTGAAGATCGATGATATCAAGGTGGGAGATCTGGAGTTCAACACCCCGGAGGAGATCGATCGGCTGCGAAAGAAGATCTGGCACAAGAATCACCTGCTGATTGGCAAGGGCAATGCACTTCCCCCAGCAGCCCGGGGCGTCACCTGCGACATCGACGTGGGCGACGCGAAGCCGATCGCTCAACGTGTCCGGAAAGTTGCCCCTCAGTTCGTGGAGAAGGTGTCCGAGCTGATCAAGGGACTATTGTCAGCCAAGATGATTCGGAATCTCGATCACCGTGGGCCTCGCCGATCGTCGTGATCATCAAGAAGGACGGCGTGGACATTCGACTCTGCATCGATTATCGGCTCGTCAACAGTCTAACCAGGCTGATGGTATATCCGATGCCCTTGATCAACGATCTGCTGGAGGATCTGGACAAGGTACTCTGGTATTGCTCCTTGGACATGGCTAGTGGATTCTGGGTGGTGACAATGACCGATCGAGCTCGTGCGATCTCGGTCTTTATCACCCACATGGGTCTGTTCGAGTGGAACCGGATGCCGTTCGGCCTGAAGAACGCTCCTCACACCTATCAGCGACTTCTGGACGACGCGTTGTATGGGTTCACCAGGATCCCGCGATCGTCGGACTGTGAAGTCACTACGGACTTGATTGAGTCAGGAGAACCAGAAGATCCGGGGCGTCCATCAGTGCTAGGTCGCAGATCGTACATTGATGACATCCTAGGGACGTCCGGATCATGGGATGAGCTGTGCGGTCGTGTGGATCACCTGCTGGACGCTTGTGATAAGTGGAACCTCTCGATCAGTGTGGAGAAGAGCTCTTGGGGAATGCGTAAAGTGGACTATCTGGGACATCGTGTGTCGAACGACGGGCTGGAAGCCAATCCGAAGGACCTCACCGCTCTGACCGATCTGGTTCCCCGGATCGCTCAGATCGATGCAATCGTTTTTGGGCAGTCTCAATTATTACAGCCGTTTCTTGGAAGATTACGCGATATACGCGGCGATCCTGTACGAACTGCGCGAGGTGGACTTCGCCGTGCTGAAGAAACGCCCCGATCTGCGCCAGATCCTGGATCGCCAAGTACCGAACTTAGTGGATACGGACCCAGTGAGCCCCGATCGGACTCCATCAGTTCCTGAAGTCAGTGTTGCCGATGACCGCTGGATCCGTGCTCATCGTGCCTTTTCGACCATGAAGATGAAGATCGCGACGACACACCGATCCTGCGGCACTTCGATTGCGATTGGACTCCGGTCGTGATTGTGTATGCCAGTGACTGGGCGATCTCGGCCGCATTGATGCAGGAGCACGACCAGATCTATCATCCCGTTACTTTCGCGAGTCGAACGCTGAAGTCGAATGAACTGAATTACAATGTGGCGGAGAAAGAAGTGCTGGCGCTGTTACGGATCCTGGACCTGAACTATAACATGCTGGTTGGACGATCGATCCGGGTCTTGACCCGACACTCGACGTTGGCGTGGCTGTTCCGATCATCCGGTCTTCAAGGCCGATTGGGCCTATCACCCTGGACACTGGAGATCACGAAGTGCACCAAGGATGAGGACGAGATATTGGGGGCGATCGCCGCTAGTATTACGCCTCGATCGGATCTGGACGACGCGTTGATCGCGATCGCGCCGAAGAAAGAACCCCGGCGCAAGATTCAAGCCCCGATCCCGACGGTGCGTGCGGACGAAGAGCTGCTGGTGATGAGTTTCGATGGATCCGCCCGCGTCAAGCGAGGCGGGGGCGCGTACAGTACAATCTTGTGGATGTTACCCGATGGAGTGTGGTGAAGGCTCGATCGGGCTATGCCGAAGGGCTGACTGTTAACGAGGCGGAGTATCATGGTCGGTTGTTGGGTTTCAACCTCCTGGACGGCATAGATCGAGGCAGGTTAGTGGTCTGCGGTGACTCCAACCTGGTGATCCGACAAGTACGGGGCGAGATTGACTGCAAAGCACCTAAGCTGACATTGTTGAAGCAGAAGGTGCTGGATCATCTACGGAACTGGCCAGATCACGAGCTGTTACATGTGAAACGAGACTGGAACGGAAGTGCGGACAGCCTGGCCAGTGCAGCACTCCAACGTGAAGGGGGCGTCGTCGTCGAGGAGGATGCCGATCATGGGGATCTAGTGACACTGAACCGACTTGATGAGATCCTGGTCGTCCGGTCGGATGAGTCGATCGCCCGACTATCGCCGATGACAACCCGATCGGGCACCAGATCACGGCCGAACCCGACCGTCATGCAGGAGGAGATCGTGCGAGGGTTGCGGATCGATCGGATTCGTCGAGCACAGGATGAAGAAACGTGGATCGCGGGTATGAAGAAGTACCTGATGGGAGATGTGGCTGAACTGACGCAGGATGAGGCTCGACCCTATGGCAACATCGCAGCGGATTATGAGATCGACGGTGATAATCTGCTGTTCTATTGCCCGCCCTCCAAACGATCGGAGGCAGATCGAGATGGTCTGATGAGGCTGGTTGCACCAGAGACGCTGCATCAAGATATCTTGCATCACTATCACTCCACTTTGGAAGGGGGACACCAGGGGATCGGGTGTACCTATCAGCGGATCTGCGATCACTTTCACTGGAGAGGTCTCTTCAGAAGTGTGCAGAAGTACGTTGGCGAATGTGTCGACTGCGAGACCGGCAAAGGACGACCCACGATCAGGGGCGAGTCGCCGGGAAACATCCAGGCGACATACCCGTTCCAGATCATAGCGATGGATCACATACCTTCGCTACCCAAGTCGTACAAGGGTAAAACGGAACTGTTGATCTGGGTCGATCTGTTCACGGGATACGTGATCGCGAAGGCCAGTTCCTCCCGAACGGCGCAGATGATCGCCGAATCTTACAAAGAGTGTGTGTTCCGGCGATTTGGTGCTAGCGAGGTGATCAGGCACGATCGAGAGCCGGGATTTATGGCTGACTTCTTCCGCGCCTTTGACAAGATCCTGGGTATGCGCCAGCGAGCGACGATGGCATATCGACCTCAGGCTAACGGTACTGCAGAGCGAATGGTACAGACGGCGACGAGAGCCCTGAAGATGTTCGTGGAGGATCTGGATCAGAGGGATTGGGATGAGTACGCAGAGCGATTGACCTTCGCGATCAACACGGCTCAGGATCGGGTCCGTGGGGACTCCCCTTTTTATCTGGTGCATGGATGGGATCCTCGATCGACGCTCGAGGCAACGATACCTTTGGGTAGTACCCGGACTCGGGATCGGGATCTTTGACGGTGGCGTTATCGGATCCAGAAGCACTACGATCAGGCTCGGAGTCAGGTGAATGCTCGACTACGCGAGGCGATCGCGGATCGGGCCGACCGACACAATGAAGAAGTTCGACCGCACTCGATCGAAGCTGGATCTCAGGTGTGGCTGTACCTGGATTGAGTGAAAGAGGGCTATGCCCGGAAGTTGGCCCACCTGTGGCACGGCCCGTTCCGTGTTGCGGAGAAGGTGAACGAGTATACGATGAAGCTTCAGATCGCTGGTACGGACTATCACCTGTTCCCGATCGTGCATGTCTCGAAGCTGAAGCTGGTCAGGGACTTCCCCGATCGACCGCAGATCGCGCTCACGGTGGACGCAGTGGTTCGACTCGATTTCGACGAAGTCTTACTTCCGGAGGACAGCTGGGCCCCAGATCGAGATGCGAATGAGTACGAAATAGAGGAGATCACGGATATGCGGACGGGTCGAAGGACACGGTACGGCCGGACTTATCGTGAATTCCTGGTACGCTGGAAGGGTTACGACGAGCCTGACTGGGTCGACGAAGCTGATCTCAACTGTGGAGCGTTATTGTACGAGTTCCTTCGAGATCGCGTGTACCGGAACCGATTCGGCGCGATGCAGTCTCACGAGGAGGAGTGAGATCGGGCCACCAGGGTGAGCGGGTCACCTTGGTGAGTGAGAGGGATGACGGATCGACGGGGGGGGCCGTTGATCGGAGGAAAGGGTTGTATATGAATGAATGAGTGTATGTGAGTGCAGATCGGACGGTTATGGAGCGAGTACAGGAAGGCATGAGGACAGATCTTGGCCGATCGAATTAACAACGAATGGATTGACGGGGAACAGTGGAAGATCAAGGAAAAATGTGGATTATTACAATGGAATAGATCAATCTGAGTACTTCGCGCTACGCGTATGGAAGATCAGCCTCCGCGCCACTCCTATTCTTGGGGTGTGATGGTCGACTGGCTCGCTATTCGCGGAAGTCGATCGTGGAGACGGCGATCATGTCACGGCTGGTGTTGGGCGCTGACGTTGGGGTTGAACTTGTTGCGGAGACGCGGGATCCGCTGGGCTGGATGGTCCTGGGGGTGGGCGCGGTACTGGTTCCGCCAGGGATCTTGGGTGTCGGCCTCGATCAGGGCCGTTCGGAGGTCGGTCGGTTCGCCATGGTGTTGGGTGGGGTTGCCGATGTTCGCAGCGCGAGATACCACGCCAGGATACCAGGTCACAGCGTACGCTGTCGCACCGGGATCTGCAGGAAGAATGGGCCCAGCAACAGATCGACGTCTGCCCACATCTCTCGCATCATCGAAAGCATATCGACGAGGAGTCGGCGCCACCAATCACCGAGGCGGATCCGTCGGGCACGACGATCGCGATGGTATCGCTCGACGATCTGATCCCGATCCTGGGCGCCCGTGATCGGGAGATAATGAGTTGTTTTCCAGAAGGCCTGGCGATTCTGCTCTTCGAACTGAAGATAGGCAGTGGCGATCCGACCCAATCGGGTGCCGGCGCCTCGATGGAGTGCCAGATCGAAAGTCAACGGATCGGCCGGGTTCTGCAGCACCTGCCAGGGGCGATCGGCCATCAGCGCGGTAATCTTAGGTCCGGTGATCAGGTCGTCTCGATAGCCAACCCCGGCCGCAGGCTGTGCAATGCCCCGAACGACGAGCGGGAAGAGCCAGCCCCCGGGTAGGAGGAGATGGTGGGTCAGCGTCAGGATCATGCCGGTGATCTGTAGCTGTCCCAGCAGGATCGAAGGCCAGGGGTCTGTATCAGTCTGAGCGAGTGCCCTGGGGGCGTTGAAACCCGGGATCATGGTACCGATCGGGAACATCGGCGGGACCAGAGGACGACGCCCCGGCGATCCAGGCGGAGAACCGGGCGGCGGCGATCCAGGTGGAGAACCAGGCGGGGATCCCGGAGGCGTCGGTCCAGGTGAGCCATGACGGGACTGATGCGTTCCGTGGGACGATTGGAAGCGAACCGATCCAGATTGGGAGTGGATCGACACGACTGAGGGCGATCGCGATCGCGAGCGAGCCGGCGAAGTGTCGGCGAGGCAGATTGACGGCGGCGAGCCTCCGATCGGGATCGAGCTAAGGCTGCGAGAGCTTCCTGATCAGACCCCTCCGACTCGTCTTCTTCTTCGTTGGTCTCTTGATCGGGCCCCTCCGATTCGGAATTTGCCTCGTCGGCCGCGGATCGGGCCGGAGACGACTCCTCCTCTTCCGACCGGTCTTCCTGCGTAGATCGAGGGGGCGAACCTGATTCTTCTTGGTCCGATCTCTCTTGATCGTTCAGATCGGAAGGCGGTTGATCTGCAGCAGGCACCTTCTTTGCGGGTTGATCTTCGGCAGGCTGACCCCCAGCAGGGAGTTCATCGTCATGGCCGGGTAACGAAAAGGAAGGTGAGGGAGACCGAGCGGGCGATCGGCTCGTAGACCGACTACGTGGTGGAGGCGCCGATCGGACACGTTTGTGGATGTGCCCGACGGAGTCCGGAGATCCGGAACGACTGCGGCTACAACGGACAGGCGTGGTCGGCGCGCACTGGCGAAGTCCAATCCACCGAACTACGCGAGATAAGGCGTCGTCGGCCACATTCTCGAGATCCTCGTTGGATCGATCGCTGACGCGCCGCAATATAGCGAAGGCATCCTGGACGTCGATGAATTGGGCGTCTTGGGCACGGATCACTTGTTGCGCGCTTTGGAGACACGATCCTGTAACACAGCGACGGCATGAGCGGCGATCGACAACGGAATAGGCGACACGGAAAGTTTACGTACGGAGATCGGCGTTCTCTCGGAGCGCAACGTCGCGGTCCTGATGAGCTTGATCGACGTCTTTCACGGCAGCAGTGGCTTGGTCTCTCGCGGTATCTCGGGCGGTACGCATCCGATCCAGCTCCCCATTCACCTGGCGGAGGGCAACCTGCAG